CATTCTGTGATTCTGTGATTCTGTAATGCCACACAGTTTATTGCTGTCCTGTTCAAGTTTGTCTCCTTCTGTCTAGCCTTGTGGAGTTCCACCCTGATATCTCCTGTCCACAACTCTTCTCCTCCTCCATTGACTACAAAATCCGCATCTGGGACCTGAATTCCAGCAGGTGTCTGGCCACCCTGGACGGCCACTTCAGCGCTGTCACCTCGCTGGCGTTTGCTGGTGGAAACACGCTCCTCAGGTAGAACTTTGCAGAGGTTGAGCCTTTCTCTCCTGTTCACTCTGCCTCCTGCCAGAGACTGGGTGCTTCTGTAGGGGCTGGGAAGGTTCTGTGAGGGGAAGGACTTCTGTGAGCGTTCAGTCTCTGGCTGAGTGACTGAGGGTCTTGGCGCTGTGTACTGTGCTGTCACATGGAAGGCTGGTGCCTTCTTCCACATAAACCTCTTCCTACAATTCTAAATTCACACTCAGAGCCTGAGTTGAATGGATTCAACACTGAAAATGCTCTTTTAACTTGCAGTTCTGGCCGTGATAAAATCTGCATGGTGTGGGACCTGAAAACCAGAGAAAGTAAAAGAACCATCCCTGTCTACGAGGTGAAATTCCATTTCATTCATTCCTTTGAGGTCCTTGGTAGTTCCTTGGTCACAGCTCATATGCTGCCTCTCCCTCTTTACCTTCCTATATGTTGTGAAATCAGGTTTTTCTCCCTTGTACTTTCCAGAGGCCTTAAAATTCTGTGTCTAAAGCTGTTTGTTTTCTTTTTCTCCTCCCTTGGTGTGCTCGTGCCTGGGCAGTTTGAGGAAATCCACTGCTGCCTCCACTGCCCCAGTGCTGGATGAGGAAGGACAGACAGTCATGGAAGAAGTTTGTTCTCTCACTGACAGTCATAGAAGTTTGTTCTCTCACTGTACCTGCCTGTCTCTACTCAGTAGCCGTGCAGTCTGGGGCAGTGGAGCGTGGAGGGCATGTGTCTGTTGACACTGGTGGGCTGTGCCTCAGCTCTGGTTGCTGAAGCAGGACTCCAGTCCCTCACACTCAGCTCATGTTCACCCAACTCTCTTGCAGAGCGTGGAAACTGCTGTCTTGTTACCTGAAAAGGGAGATTTCTCTCAGCTGGGTGTGAAGAAACAAGGGTTGCATTTCATCACAGCTGGCAGCAAAGGTGAGTGTCCTGGCAGGTCACTGCTGGATGTGGCAGCCAAGGAAGGACTGCACTTAAGATGCTGCATTGCTGTTACTCCTGGGATGTGCGTTCCTTGTGTGGCAGAAGCCTTGGGCTGGATGCTGAGGGCTGGAGAGCAGAGCCTTCTCCTGTGTTCCTCTGGCAGTAGTGGATGACAGGATTGATCAGGGATGCTGTGGAGCTTTAACTGTGTATCTTTTCAAACTGCAATAAAGTTTAATTTGGACTGAAGAGGAAAAAACTGGTTGGATCTCTTCACAGTCCTGCCTTAAAGCTGCGTAGCTTTTCCAGCAGGCAAGGCCAGGGTTTGTTTTACATTCTTTGGACAATCACTGTCTAAAACTGTGGCTCTGACAGATAATTTGTATCATCATTTTTTTTTTAGGCATCCTGAAAGTTTGGGAAGTTGCCACAGGTGCTTGTGTCTATACCCAGCCTGTGCCCTTCAAGTCGAAGGAGGAGGCCAGCGAGCGCAGCCTCACCCAGTGCCTGTTTGTCCCTGCGAGAAACGAGGTGGTCACAGTGTCTGTGGAACACAACATTGTTCTATATGATGCTCAAACTCTTCAGCTCAGGAAGCAGGTAACAACCCTCAGCCTCCCTCCTTTTCTTCTTTCTTTATCCATACTTGAGGATCAGCTCTGTTCTGGTGAAAGTTTTGTCCAGGGCTGCCTTCCTCTCCTGCCCGTTCCTTGGTTACAAGCCAGAAAGCCAGTTTCACTGGGGGAGTTGTTTGGAGGAATATTGCACAGACACAAACATAGGAGAAGGAAATCAGAACAGGCCCTGAACAGAGCCAAAAATCCCTCCTGTAAGATTTTTACCTGCAGTATTATATGAAAGGAAACAGTAATGCAGCCTCAGTGAGCATGGTGCTGTCTGGTATTTTTCTAACCACTTGACTCCTCCCTGTTAAACTGTTTCTCTTGCACCATCCTCAGCTTGCAGGTTACAACGATGAAGTTCTGGATGTGAAGTTCCTTGGGCCCGGTGATTCTCACATTGTTGTGGCTACCAACAGTCCTCAGCTGAAAGTGTTTGAGCTGGCAACATCACACTGCCAGATCCTCTACGGACACACAGGTCTGCGTGGTCAGCTCTGACGTGGGTGATGTGCAAGTATTTCTTTATCCAGCTTCTCTCCCAACTCCTGTGTGGAGATTTGAGTCTTTGATTTCTCTCTGGAACAGCATCACACCAGGGTTTGGAGTTGCATGGAGGAAGGATATATTACCCTGTCCTGGTTTTGCAAACACTAGGCTTGTTTCCAGGTCTGTCAGTCCCTTTCACTGGCAGTGAGATCAGTGTAAATTGGAGCTGAGGATGTAGGTACGTGAGCACGAGCTCTGAATGCAGTTTTGTGACTGCAAGTGACAGACTCGCACCGATGCCACAAGCAGCCAGTCACTGTAGTGAGTGTGGATGTGTTCCCAAGTGTCCCAGGCCTGTTCTCCACTCAGGAAGTGGTGGACTCATTAATTCATGTATTTCTGTTATCTGATTTCAACATTACTTTGCAACCAGCTGTTTTTTCTTCTCCTGTTTAGAAACAATTCTTGCTTTGGATGTCTTCAGAAAAGGCCTGATGTTCGTCAGCTGTGCCAAGGTCTGTTAGTGTTCTTCATTTAATGAAACTCCTCATTTCTAGTGATCTTTATGGGCAGAGTTGTTGTGTTCCTTTTTGGCAATCCTGAAAGGAATTTTGTTCAGACAGAATTCCTGTCTGCTGCATCCCACGAATGGGATTTTCTTCCACTAAAGCTTTTTAAAGTTGTCCTTGGGGAAATGTGATCTATTCTATTTTATTAGCCTGAAAGGAGATGTCTCATTCTCCAAATGTCTTGCTTTTGCATCAGAGTTCAGAGATGGGATTGGTGTGAGAATTTGGGGAGCTGTGTGCAAAAAATATCTTGTAAGAAAAGGTGCCAACTGCCCTGATAGACCCAGAAATAAACCTCCAGGAAAAAAAACAACCTGCTGGAATCCCCGGCTGCAGTGCACCATGTCTGGCTGTGTCTGCTCTCACCTGCTCTGACAAACACAGGCAAAGGTTCAAGCTTGGAAATAAGTGACTAGTCAGGCTCAGAGATGTGGTGAACGCATGGAGAACTGCTCACTTGTCACAAAAGCACAGCAGTTTCTGTCCTCTCCCATTCCAGGACAAAAGCCTTCGAGTCTGGCGGATGAGCAGAGATGGGAGGGTGATCTGTGTGGCCCAAGGACTGGGTCACGCGCACGGGGTAGGCGCTGTCTCTTGCTCAAGGTAATAAAAATCCTACAAGTGTTTCCCTTTGCAAGCATGAGTCATGGCTGCCACTTGTCACAAAAGCACAGCAGTTTCTGTCCTCTCCCATTCCAGGACAAAAGCCTTCGAGTCTGGCGGATGAGCAGAGATGGGAGGGTGATCTGTGTGGCCCAAGGACTGGGTCACGCGCACGGGGTAGGCGCTGTCTCTTGCTCAAGGTAATAAAAATCCTACAAGTGTTTCCCTTTGCAAGCATGAGTCATGGCTGCTTTGCTGATCCTCAGGGTGGAGGTTTTGGGGGATGCCTGCCTCTGAGCCAGCCTGTTTCTCATTCTTGGTGCCAGCGTGTCATGCTGCTCTGGGCTTGAAGGAAGGATGATTGTCGTGTTGTGAAGTTTGTGATTCTTTGTTAGTCTGACTCCCGTTTGCCTTAAGGAGCAGCTGCTGGATAAATTGCCAGATAAAGCTGAGTGACCTGGAGAAAAGGGTTGGGAAGTGAAGGGGGTGTGTCTGTGAAGGTGTTTGCTTGGATAATGTGTCTGTTTATCGGCTCCTCTCCTTTCTTCCTGCTGCCTAATGGTCTGGAAGCCCAGCTTGCCTCTTCAAGAGCTGCAGCATACCTTTGTAAATGGAGAGAGCTAACAGTGCTGTGGCTAGTGTCTGAGATGCTGGAGGCTCTCCCAGGGACCCAAGTAAAATGAAAGACAGCTTGAAAAAACATGCAAGCCCTCTGTTTCACATCTCAGCAGAGTGATGGAATACGTGTAGATCCTGGCAGGGGAGGAGGAAGAGAAGGCCTTTTTTCTGTGCAGGGGAAGCCACTCTTTTGCTTCCTTCCACTTGACATTTTGATTCCTTTTAGACTCAAAGAAAGCTTCATAGTAACCAGCAGCCAGGACTGCACAATCAAGATCTGGAATATCCCAGAATCTCTCACTTCCAAAGCAAAAGCAGCCTTGATCTCCAGTCCAGAAACCCTTCATGCAAAAGTGACCGAGAGAGGTCACAACAAGGTAAAGCTCCAGCTGACATTAAAACACGCTTTTAGTACTGAAATCTTTCTCTCCTGTGTTGTACCCAACGTTTATCACCTGTCTGACAGCAAGAGCAGAAACTTAAACCACTTTGCTCCCTGTATTTATGTGACTTCTCCAGGACGTAAACAGCGTGACAGTTTCTCCGAATGACAAGCTCATTGCCACGGGCTCGCAGGATCGACTGGCCAAGCTGTGGTCCTCTTCTGATTGCTCTCTGCTGGGTGTCTTCACTGGACACAAGCGTGGAATCTGGTGTGTGCAGTTCTCCCCAGTGGATCAGGTCTTGGCCACCTCTTCAGCAGATGGGACCCTGAAGCTTTGGGGTCTTCGGGACTTCAGCTGCCTGAAGGTAACGAGAACTCAGACTCCCCCTGCTCTGGGCAGCCCTTGCCTGTCACGGGGATGGATTAAGGCTGCTTTAGAAAAGTACATGCTAGTTAGTGCAGCAGAAATGCAGCAACGTGGCCATGCTGGAGGAAGAGCTACCCAGGTCTAGCCTTGTTCTCCAGGATCTTGGGTGTGTGAGCTGCATGCAAAGCTCCAGGGCAGGAGCATCTGCCCGGTGCTCAAGAGATCTCTCTTTTCTAGCTAACCAATGAGCAGCATGGCTGATCCTAGGGGAAAACACATCCATGCTATTGAAAGAAAGCTGACTTTGCCTGACACAGCTGTGGCCATCAAGTTAAAACATGCAAGTCTAAATTTCAGACTCACTCTTCATAAAAACTCTCTTTCCAGTCCAGCAGTGTCTCACTAAAACCACGGGAAGGCAGCTGCTAACTGTGCCACGTTCTGCCCAGCAGTGTTACTTCACTGAATGGGTTCTTTGTGCTGTGGCAGGGGAATCAGCCTTTTGGGAGGTTGCCTTTGCAGTGTTGGTCTCATCATTCAGACCATTTGCAATATGACCTTGGCCAACGAGTTTAATCAAAGCAGTTTGTTTGAAAAAATGGTACAAGGACAAGTCATTTCATACTCCCCTTTCACCCTACGTTAGGAGAAAGTCCTGAGAATAGAGGCTGGATTTTGGAACTTAACTTATTTGGTCTTTATCTCCAAAGGCCTGGCAACAACTCTAACACTTTGGAGCTTCCTTTCTCTTTTCCAGACGTTTGAAGGTCACGATGCCTCTGTTCTGAAGATCATTTTTGTCAGCCGAGGGACACAGCTCCTCAGCAGGTGGGTGCCTGCACCAGGGGTCTAGAGGAAGATGCCAAAGCTAATTAGAAAAGAAATCTCTTGACTGGTATCAGCAGAAAAAAGACTTGTGCAATGGGTTTAGTTTTGGCAAGACTGATAGGAAGATGCCATGTTTATGCCAAGTTTGATGCAGGGACTCACTTATCTCCCTCTTCTCCAGGTATCCTGTGGATTCGTGTTAGCTGGGTTGGGGACATACACTATAGTCAGGCAGAGCTGAGGGTACATCTCACCCTGTGGCCTTTGGGTGAGGGCAAAACAGCCAGAGCTAACCAGTTCCTGACACCTGCAGAGGGTTGGCTCTCCTGCTAGGAGCAGGAAAGAATGTAGTTTGTCTCCTGAACCCCCTTCTCTAAAGAAGGGCTGAAATGTAACAGGCTGCAAATACCACCAGAGCATGTCAGGACATGTAGGTGAGAGGGATTCCCAAGAAGGAATCACCAGAAGGGGTGATAGTAGTACTGGGAACTGCTGGTTTGGAGTTCTCAAGCTTTCTGGACATTTTTGGTTCATTCTGCTCCTATTTGAAAGGCAGTTGGAATGGGACAAGTTTATCTGATATCTGAGGTGGGACAGAGTGAGAATGAATCTGTCCAGTGATTCTTTGTTGTGTTTCTGTCTCTCCCAAAAGCGGTTCTGATGGTCTCTTAAAGCTCTGGACAATTAAAACAAACGAGTGTGTGAAAACATTAGATGGTCATGAAGATAAAATCTGGGGTCTTCACTCTAACAAGCAAGATGAGATGGTTGTGACAGGATCCAGTGACTCCTGCATCATCCTGTGGAAGGTACAGTACAGGCTCTTCCTCTGTGTCCTCTCTGGGTTCGTAACGAGAACGTGGTTGGAGAGCTCAGGATCCCAGTGGCTTGTTCTTTGCTGTTCCAGCACAACATGTGCTCTGCTCATTTTCTGCACTTGGAAATTGGGTCAGTAAAGTGTTTCTTGGGGTTTGGGGGTTTTTTTTTGGCTGTTCTGTATTTCCCCAGTTGATGATGTGACAGGAACAGCAGATGGGCCTTAGCAGCCCGCTCAGTGCTGGGGTTGTAAAGGTGGTTGGGAGGGAAGTTGAGAATTGCTGGATTTAACACTTAAATTACTTGACCTAGAGATCTTGCTGTAGAGACTGGTCTCCTAATCACTTGCTGGCTGAATAAAAATTCATCTGTATAAAAGCAAGATTTGACAAAGTTCTGTTCATTTTTTTTATAGGATGTCACCGAAATTGAAGAGAAAGAGGCACAAGCCAAGCAGGAGGAGCAGATTATGAAGTAAGTTGATCCTGGGCAATAATGAGCCGTGAAAGGCAAACTGTCCAGTGGAAATGTCCACACCTAGAGCCACCCAGCTCCACCTACTCTGAATATTACACCATTTAGCAGTTTGGAGGCTGTCAAGGCACAGTAGGCTCCTCTGCCTTGTAGTTTATCTTTAGTTCCTGCAAAGCCTTGCTAGAATTGGCAATTCCAGCCAATGTCAGCTTGGCAATTCATAGAATCATAGAATGGTTAGGATTGGAAGGGACCTTATAGCTCATCCAGTTCCAACCCCCCTGCCAGCAGCAGGGACACCTTCCACTAGACCAGGTTGCTCAAAGCCTCATCCAGCCTGGCCTTCAACACTTCCAGGGAGGAGCAGCCACAGCTTCTCTGGGCAACCTGTTCCAGTGTCTCACCACCCTCACAGTGAAGAACTTCTTCCTAATATCTCATCTAAACCTCCCCTCTTTCAGCTTAAACCCATTTCCCCTTGTTTTGTCATTAGTTGTCCTTAGGAAAAGTCCTTCCCCAGGAAGGACTAGTTGATTAGTTTCATGTTTATGCACCACTGAGATGAGCCAAGTCAAACCACTGGAACCTACTTTCGCTTTCTCCTGCTTCAGGCAGTGCTGAATGGTGCAGGGAGCCCTTGAAGGTGCCAGGGTAATTATCTGCACAAGGAAGGCACCAAGGCATTCACTGGCAAGCCGTGTTAACTTCTGGGCATTAAACCTCCACACACTATTACTGCCAGATCTGCTACTTTTGGTGTAGTTTTTTTCCACCAACCACATTTTTGTCTCACACTCTTGACCCTGATTTGTTTTCCAGGGAACAGGAGCTTTCTAACCTGCTTCATGAGAAAAGATACCTCAAAGCTTTAGGGTTGGCAATCTCTCTGGATCGTCCACACACGGTGCTGACAGTGGTCAAAGGTGAGTCCACGTGATGCTCTGAAGGAGTTTTTCTGCCCTTTCTGATTTCCAGAACATCTCTTCCAGGTAGACACAGACTGCAAAGTCTGATTGTCTGAAAGCCTCAGGTTTCCCTTTGTCTTTTGATTCTCATTTTCCAAAGTGAAATCACCCCAATAACAAATGGTCTCCCTGCTCTCAGCCCATGGGCTGGACTCACATGGACTCTTCATTTCCCTTTTCTGCAGCCATCCTCAAGGAAGCTGACGGGAGGAAGCACTTGGAAGAGAACATTGTTCGACTCCGGAAGGATCAGAAAGGTTTGTTGCAGCCTGGTTTAAGTGCTAAAACCATTCAGGTTTGGGGTTTGTTTTCTTAACTGAAATTAAAAGGAGAAGAGAACCCAGACAAAGTGTTTACCACTGAGTTGTCATCCTCCTCAAGCAGAACTGCTGCCCTGGGCCAGCTTCTTTACGGTGCTACTCATGATGCACAACAGCAACTGCTCTGAGCTTGTGCGAGTGGCTTTGCCACCCCCTTGTTTAGGATGTCCCTGTGACAGCTCAAGAAACAGTTCCCTGCATGGTTGTTCTGCCCTCTGGGCTCCTCAGTCACAGCGTGTGGGAGCGGAGCTGCTCTGTCAGACAGCAGAGATGTTTGTAACTTGGCATCTCCTGTGTGCCAGCGCCCGTGGCACAGCTGGCCTGGACAGATTTCCTTCCTCCCTAGAGGCTGTGTTAACCTTCCTGGTGACGTGGAACACCAACTCTCGAAACTGCCACGAGGCTCAAGCTGTCATTGAAACCCTCCTGAAGCACGAAGCCCCGGACAGCCTCCTGCAGTACTCGGGCATTAAATCTGCCGTGGAGTCCCTGCTGCCTTACACCGGTGAGTCACGCTGCGGGGTCGGGCTGGGAGCCCGAGGTCCCCTCCTGTGTTATGAATGTTCCCTCTTTGCCTTGGTCCAAAGAGAAGAGGGGTTTTGCACCCCGTTCTGTGCAGGTTTCTCTCCTGTGATGTGATCTGTTGCGTTTCTCTCTCTGCAGAGCGCCATTTCCAGAGGCTGAGCCGACTGCTGCAGGCCTCCATGTTCATTGACTTCATGTGGCAGAACATGAGGCTGGCAGATGCAGCCCAGCAGGATGACGTGACTTTGTGACCCTCCTCCCACCAGTTGCTCTGTCTGGAGGGGAGAGTCTGAACTGCTTTCCCATCAGGTATGGCAACGGGGCTTATTCCTGTATTTTATAATAAATTTTTAAAGCTTTAATTCTTAAAACAAAAGTCCAGTGTTCAGCTTTCTTGAGGTTTAGTGAGAGGAAAGGGTCAGTTCTTTAGCCAAGCTGTGGGGTTTCCCTTTGCATTTTCACACCCTGAATTTTCAGGCCCAGACACTTAAACAAGCACTTAGTTTGGAGAAAAGCCAGAACCTGGCTCTGAACAAGCAGTTGGTCTTTACTGGGGATTTAAAGACTTTAGAGAGTTGGGAGACACCACTAATAATGTCTTATTGTATTCCAAAACCCAGCTGGGCAGTGTGGACATGGAGTATTTTCTTTGCTTGGGCAAAATGCAGCCTGGGCCAAGGCAGGTCTCACCTCTGCCCACCCCAGATGGCACCTGGGAAGGAGACAAGCCCAATTTTAATTCCTCAACTAACAATTTTTTTTTTAAGTATAAAAACCAAGCAGTCTTCATAGATATTTACATGTATTTTATTTAAGAGACATAAATGTACAAAATGTAGAACATCAACAGCTCCCAAGTTGGTTAAATTGCCTGTTTCAAAAAAAAGAAAGCCTAATAGATACCTTTTAATTTTAACTAAAATTAAAAGTAGCAATCTCTATAAAAGTGTGAAGTTTTCCTATAGTTCTAACTCAATTCTAGCAAATGAGTTTAGGATGAGAATTGCTGTGAGTTTCAGTAACTACCAGACTCCCTTGGAAAGGGGAATGTTTTGTTCATAAAAACGAGCCCAGCTGGGAAGGGACCTGGCCCACAACCACTTTTGTTGCTGTGGGGAACGGTCAGAGATGAGGTTTGTAGCCAACAGGTTATTTTGTTCTCAGCCATTCAGCAGATCCAGGCAATTCATATATTTGATGGCCAGTTCACTACTACCCAAGTTAATCTAACCTTAAAAAAAAAACAAAACCAAAAAACAAACAAAAAACCCCAACCCCCAAAACAAACACCAAAAATAAAAGAATTTATATATATATATATAAAATAGAGGGTTCAGATAAATTACATTCACATGGCTGCATCATCCCATCCCTACCCCACACCAATAACTGGAACAGGTTGCCCAGAGAAGCTGTGGCTGGGCCCTCCTCGT